GGTTCAAGTCCAATACTATCTCGCAACTTCTGTCTTAGGTTTTTCAGGGTCATGCCTTGACAAGCTATATAGCTTTTTGCATAATCCTTGATGAGTTTTTCTGTACAAGCAGTTTCATCAACTTATTGTATGTGAATAACTTTCTCTCATAAATTATCTAATTTCGGCCCATGTGAACAATTTCTTCCTGAATAGACCAATAAGCAGTCTCCCTCTAAATTGAATAGCGAAATCAAAAACTAAAGCCTGCATGTGCTACGCTCAGTCCTGATTGGATGAAAATTATTACTTTTAACTAAGTGATTAATCTCATCCTTAAAAGGGGATTTTTTTGGTTCTCCTTCCATATCGATTACCACTCTGACCTTGTCATAGTTTAATGAATTTCGTCTGTCGAACAAATTAGATACTGTGAACACTTTCGTTCATTTCACAAATGTAGCCATAATAGCAAGACAAACAGCAAGTATAGCAAGTATATTGAAAACCCAAACATACAACGTGAGGGGAAAGGAAAAAAACCAATTAAACTTGAAAAATACTTTGAAATAATCCGACAAGAAATGCATTGTAGATATAGCGACAGCATGAATCGCTCATAAAAAAGAACATGACCATCTGAGTTGTCAATGTTTCCTTCACCAGTTTTTTTAAACAATTTTTCAGCCAACTTTTTCTTGTTTTTTTAAACAACTTCATAGCCTTTTTCAAATGATTCCGTATTTTACTATTTGGATCTAGTGAACAATCACGTGGTTTCCTTTAAACTTAGCAGCATAAAAACATTACCCAAGAATAATTAGAGAAAAAAAACTTGATGAACTGATTTTTTCTCCAATTATGATGGAGGAAAACCTAGGGTATGCAAAAACGTTTACATTTTAAAACCTTATTTTGAACGCTAACTATTGAACTTAAGAGCACCAGGTGATGAAAAAGTGGGGATGATAAAACTCGAAAAAGAAAAAAAAAATGTCCATTTAATTTGGTTTGTACTTTCTGATTGATTTTTCTTCCAGAATTCTTTTCTCGGACCTTGTTAACAAAATCCTCTACAATTTTTCTCCTTAACTCGTAGATCTAGTTCAGAGCTAAAAAGCGACCGGTTTTGAATTAACATTTCATCAACTCATCCTCTAAATTCAGCGAAAAAGTTATTGGAATTTTAAAAAATTTAAGGAAATATCTTTTGGTACTCATTATTTAATTCTTTACTTTCCTCATTCAGATTTCTCATTGTCCTATAACGGTTTGTTTCCATATTCTGCACATTTTTTCCTAAGCTTGTCGTTTAGTTCTAAGCTCGGTCGAATTTTTCTTCTGCCTTGTCGGTTTGATTTCGGCAACGCTTGTTTATAGCGCATGGCTTGTTCTCGGCTGCTTTTAAGCACTGCCATTTGAGACGAAACATGACAATATTTTTAAGAATATATATATTTTTTGAATTTTCAAATTTATGATTCCAAGTTCTTGAAGTTTTTTTTTTGAAATTTCAAAATTTTGACGGCTTAAATTAAAGTTGAATAAATTATTGAATAAGTATCTTACAATTGGCTCGAAATTAGACCAAAAATCAAAATTTTCAAACGGCTTTTTCTTGCGAGTTTTTTATATCGTTCGAACAACGACTGAAAGGGCTTTAATATAATATATCAGTCAACCCTTTCCGATGATTATTTGTGGTAGCTGATTGTGCGTGGAAAAAAAACTAAACATACTCGGAACCAAAGTGCCTCCCCATTTTCAATGGTCAGAATAAAAAATAAAAACTGATATCTCGGATTGACTAAGTTAACTAAGTAGAGTTTTCTCATTTGAATGATAAACGCCAGTTTGATGAAAAATGCGAATCAAACAATTTAATCCAATTTCAAAGTACAATGATAAATAGTTAAAGATACTTGAAAAGTCTATTATAAAGAATATTTCATTGATAGAGTTTGTATGGCTATCATTTTTCCATTTTATAAGAAAAAATGCTTTTCCTACTTCATTTTTTCTCAAAAAATTACAAAAACACTCTAATGAAAGAAGCGAACTGTAGATTTTGGCTAAGATTGAATTGTGTGAAGGTGCAAATCTGGAGAAAAGGAAAAATAATTCAAAATTTGTGGATCAAAGATTTTGTCAGGCACGCAAAAAAAAATTGGGAGAAAAAGTTTGGTGGAGTTCAAAATTCGTATTGAGCATAAAAAACGCAAAACAATTCTTAGGGCCAATTTTGAAACATCTGATATTGTCAAAAGTTGCTATTAACACAGTTTTCATTGAAGGAATTTGTTTTCTCGGCAGTTATAGTTTAAAATTTTTCATTTGTGTAAAGTTGATACACCGATCTTTATCCCGAAACTATTGTAAAATCAATTTTACTAATTTATGCAAAACTGTATAAAAATTGTGCGATTAGAATTTTTCACAGAATCAGTTTATGGCTTTGTATAGCTGCCATTTTTACTCTGTGGATGTCAACCCTGTCGATATAAACATAGCTGGGTAATCAAGTTTTTTTTAAGTGAAATTTCTGTTTAGCGATAAAGAGTTGATGAAAATTCACGTAACGAACAATTTTTTAAAAACTTAAACGTATTTTTAATGATAATGCATAATACAAGATCATGAAAGATAATTTTAAATGAAAACCAAAAAGATTTTAAATTTTACAAGAAGACGTTTTGTATCATTTCAAAAAAACTTGGAGGCACTTAGCATAATGCTCCCGCACTCCTTTTTAGAGCGTTAGTTATGTAATTGATCTCCTGCCATGACAATGATAGCGTGTGAGGACGAGCTCTCATTCAACCTCTAGATTCAGTTCTGCCACAATTTAACCTATTTTGGCTAAATGAAACTACAACATGAGGTTTCTAGATGACTTGAGTTCCAAGAAAGATTAATTTAAAAAATAACTCAGCCTCTGAATCGGACTACGGACAATTGAAGAAGTATTTCAGCTTCGATTAAAACCTATTCTTTTCACAAGTGTTTTTGAAAATTGTTGAATCGCCGAACTTGGTCCTCATGTGATATCTCACGGGCTATATGTGTCCTTTTTCCTTAACTTCCCCCTTGAATACGCTAATTTTATCAACATATTGATTCAGTGCTAATTTCAAGCTAATTTTTGCTTTCTCGATAGTGGTAAACTACTGATCCATCAATGGTTACTTTTCCACCAGATTATATTTGTCTACTACTTCATGCGCTTTTTTCTCTGTAGGGATCAGTCTGAACGATTGACTTTCTAGAGAAAAAATTATAACATTAAAATGACTTCAATTATGATTCTTACTATACAATTAATTTTTATGAGTCATAAATTTGATTAGCTTTATTCTAATGTTTCATTAAAATGTGTAAGGCTGGTATCAAGGATGTTTCCAGTGAATTGAAGTGTCACTAAAATACTGAGGTTGGACTTTTGCATCAAATACACGCACTGCATGTTCTTCAAAAAAATTTCTTCTCTGTTTTTGTTGCAATTTCTGTTATTTGGAACAAATTTAAAGTTTGCAGATTTGAGTATCGAGGCGTTAAAAATGGTGCGATGATTTTGCATTTCTTTTAATATATCCCCTTCACATTCCAATTAATGGCGATCCAACTAACTCCTAAAAAGAATTTTATTGGAAAATAAAATCATTTTAATAAAAAACTTGATTATAACATTTTTTTCCAAAACAATAATATAAATAAGACCAAATTTGGTTTCAATTGAACAAACAATCCGTTTAAAACGATGTGCAAATCACTTTTAAGAAATTCGGAATTTACAGAATTGATAGATTTCGGAACTTGGCAGATATCAGACTGCTCGTATCTCAGGGCGAAGCTCTGAATGTTCCAACTGAGTTTTAAGACAAATTAAAAAACTTGTCTGGTGAATTGTTGACAAAATAAACGTGGAAAAGAAAAAATTTTTTCTTCTTTTTATCCCCCATACACATTTTATCCCACAATTTTTTAGCGTCTCGCATGTTTTTAATAAGACTAAATTGCTACCCTCAACTGAACTTGCAACGCATTCAACCGCCGCTTATGCATGTTGAAAGAACGCAACATACCGCGCGTTAACTATCACAGATTTGCCAAATTAGCAAATTTCAAACCCCGAAACGTAAAAAAATTAACTCGGAGGTGAAATATCTTTTTCAATTTGATCTCGGAACAACAATATAATTCTGATGCAGAGGATATAGAAAATTTTTGTCAAAAACTCTCGGTTAAAAATCAAAAATGGACTAAATAAACAAAAAAACTGGGCCTTGCATAAATTTTACATTTTCTTCGAAAGTCGGAACAAAAAATTAAGTTGGCTAGATTGTGGAAAGGATGATTACCAATTGAGTTGATTTGTGACTATAAAGGAGTCACTTTTTAGTCAAAAAAACCGAGCACTTTTGGTATCCGATTTCAAAGTTCGGACTGAAATTATGAAAAAAATTTAAATCATGCAAAGATGTCTCCTTTTAAACGGATTGTCCTAAACTTATTACAGAGACCCATAATCAAGTATTAATTTTTCAGTTGTGTTTTTCGAAATGCAATAAGAAGAAAAAACACCACCTTTCAAACTTTGAAAGAATCATGATGAGGCAAGAAGCTAAAAAATCAAAACAACACGTTTCGAGGAACTTTCGAAGTTGTTGCTTGCTTGATTACCTTCATAAAAACAATTTTCAAATTTTTTCATCTGTTGTACTTTGGTTTTATCAGAAAAACATACATTTAAAGAAGTAAGTCTCATGAAAAGCAAAAACTCGATATTCAGAAACTTAGGCACACTTATCTTTCAATTTTTGTCAACAATTTTTCTGCAATAAAATCGATTTGTTTTTGCGATCTTATATCAGTTTTTTATCAAAATATATTCATAATTGCCCATAAATGTTGTTTTATTACGTAACCAGTGCCAGAGTTTTCATTTTTGAGGATAGATTATTTTAAGAAAAAAAAACGGAAAATTAATAATTATTAAAAAAAGCAAGAAAGACTCTACATACCTATAGTGTGGTTTACTCTTGTTGTTATTGTAGACTGGCAGTGGACACACTGCATAGTGACTGGATATTTGCCCAGAGACACCGAGTGCTGATGCTTCACTCTGAAAAAAACTAGAGCATAAAAACTATCTACTCAACAATTTCTTCCCCCCTATGATATCGACCAAAGAACATCCACGCCCCTAAAAATATAAGAAGTTAGCAATAACGCTTTTTTATCCGAATTCCAGTTTTTCTGTTTTCTGATTGGTCGAAAGTCTACTTAACAAAACAAGTACAAAATGATGATCGAATGAGAATGTCGTGACAAAAGAAGATAAATTCACACCTTGTTCAAATCTTTTGCTGGTTTTGCCGAAATTGAATTATGGACTGGGATTTGTTTCAAGAAAAGAGGAAAAAAGACTGAAACCCAGATGAGTTGATTATCTTTATTACACCTCAATTCTACCCCAAAATCTATCCTTTCAGCAATTTTTAGTCAGTAAAAAATTACGCCAGAACTACCCGATCAATTGCTGACAAAAGTATATCATGGTGAGCATCTTAAGTAGCGGTCTATGACATACTGCTGTACTATAAACATGCCGAAAATGATTTGAGATGAAAAATTTAATGAAAAACATGAAGCAATATTACAATACGCGGGCAACTTTGAGATCTATTTGAGCTGTGTTTTTACTCATATGAAAACTATATTGCATAATATAATCATTCCAGTAACTAAATTTTTTTTAAATTAAAGTATCTTGAGTAAACACACTCTTCTGCCATAAAAAATGTTTTCAAAAATTCAAACTTTTTTTTGCAAATAACAAAGAGTGATCCAGCTGTTCAAGTTGAATGTGCCACCTATTGTAATATCATCTAAAACGTGTGTAACTTACATGACAGTAGGCGGTGGCGCGTATGCGGGGGGCGGTGGTTGGGGTTGTCCATACATCCCTTGAGGGGGCTGTTGGCCATAGTATGGCTGTGGGTTAGGGTACGGGGGCTGTTGGTTCGGAGGTGCTGCCATAGTTTTTTTAAAATAAAAAATATGAAAACAAATCAGGTTTTGAAAAATCTTCCAATGGAAATGACGAACAGGTGCTCAAGTAGCTTAAATTTTTTTTTATTGTTTTTTATTTGTGCGTTATATGTTATATGCCTTAGACGGTCTTTTTTCCAAGCTCAATAAATGATTCATTGAGTTTTTCCATCATTTTTTAAAACTACCAGGTGTTTTTGCTTTCAGTTTTTTTCTTCATTGATTTTCAAATTTCGTTTTGTTTTGTTTTGAGTATTGGAACCTGATCTAAACTATATTTTATGATTGGATAAATTAAATGTTTTACCAATGTAAAGTATTTAATATTAACCAATCATGATCCATCTAACTAACAACCCACTTATTTGTAAGTGCTGAAGTTACTTGTAATTTCAGCACCAGAGAGATTTGAATTTAACTTAGAAATTAGTTGGACTCTCCCGAGCACTTCAGCAGCCGCAATAAACCAGTATACCCTAGATCTATTGAGCCTAGCAGAGACTAGTTAAACAACCTGAGACTAGATAGTATAAGAGTAAGATTAGGATCGGTATTAGACTAAGAAGTTGCACGAATCTATCCGGCCGAAAATAAGATAGCGTGACGAGCAGACGGTGTACCCTATCCGAAATTACTCTATGAGTTATACACCCCAGTACTAACTCATCTGGTGCGACCATAAGTCTCGAACAAGACCTTACTAGATTAGAATTAACCAAAATTAGATTAGAAATTAGACAAAAACATTTACAAAATGTTATACGACAATAATTTAATTGAAATGTCTCTCCGACTCAATAGATCAGAGCCAATATTCCGAACCATAATAGAACTACCCGGAATTGGAAGAAGACATCGAACCAAAGACGACATACGACAAAGTAGAAACTTGCCGTATAGTTATATGATAGTTCGGCAAAAGCCAGAACAAACTTTTATATTTCGAATACTACTTGCAATGAATTTAGATTTCCATTTGCAAACATAAAACCTTGAAGTAAATCTTCAAAATCATTTCAGGCGCTAAACAAATTAATATTATACAATAACGATTGATAAAAAGATCTAAGATCGTTTTCCTAAAATTCTGCAGTATTATACAAAACATGTTTGAAGAATATTTATTGGAAAATAAAAATAAAAATTAGTAGCATGACAATAAATGGTTAGTAATCATAAATCATCCTGTTGTTCCAGCTTCATCACCTAAAACATAACAGCAATCATAAACCCATTAATATCATCAAAACACTAAATCTTTCCTTTACACAAATTTAAAACTTTATTAAAATTTAAAGTCACTTAATTTAAAATCAGATCATCAAGGCTTATCCTTGGATCTCAAATCATTTTCTACTTAATTAAATTTTAAATTTGATCATCAAGGCTTATCCTTGGATCAAACAGAACAACTTTGTTCTCCCCCACCCACTTAATTAGTGTCTAACGACCTCAAACGTCGATTCACTACCCAACCCTTTCTAAAAACCCAAGACTAATAGAAATTTTTAAACAAAACTAATCATTCAAATTAGGATAAACAGTGAAGAACTTCGGTTATTCATCCTTCACTTGACCCCTCCTCTTACCAGACCCAGGATAAATCTTAGACTTAGTAAGTTTAAAATAGTATCTAACGAACTACTCGCGTTCTAATTATACCTGAACCTTGTGGATCGATTTACTATTCTCCAACCCTTGAACACAATCACTACCCCTAAGTAAGATTAAGTAAGTTAACACCTTAGCTTATACTAGTCACGAGAAAGTAAAAATCATTCTTCGGAATCGATATACTTTTCTCTCCAACCCTGAACAACTAGACCCAGGTTAAGCTAACCAAAAAATCGTAAGAACTAACAGTTTAAGTCAATAGAAATCATTTAACAACCTTTTGCATCCGTCATTCTAAACCTTATGTCATTTAAAAACCTAGGAAATAAACAAACAATCATTTTACACAATTGTGAAATAGATAACAAAAAATACGACCTTGTAATCACACCTCATACACAAACAATTGGATACATTCGAACAAAACGACAAACACTAAAGAGAAAAATAATAACTAAACAAAGACAAATAACACGAAAAAGATTTTCAAAAAATCGAAACGCATTTTCAGAATCAGAAACCAACAGTTTAGACGAACTTTACAAACTAAAAGAATCAATAGATAAAAATTGCCCACAACACGATCAATTATATTTTTCTGACTCAGAAACAACTTCAAATTCATCACAAAGAGGAAAAAGAAGAATAAAAAAGCAGTATAAACACAAACCAGTACATCTATACAATTGGAATCAACCAATTCGACACATTAATAATTACATATTAACAGTCATCGAACGAAAAAATGAGTTCAACGCACACCCCAGGTGACGAAACTCCAGATGATGATGAAATCTTTCCTTTTATAGTAGATGCAGATACTGATAGAGGACAACACATATTTTGTCAAAATTTACTCGTAAATTTATTTGAACCCGGAATCAGTCCATGTAAAACAGAGTTCCCCGATGTAAAAATCAAAAGACAAATCATAGATCACTATCTAAAAGATATATGCAACATAACACAACAGTATGGAATCTACTCTATAGAATTCACTTCCCCAAACCATAATAATAGAACATATACTATTCAAACAGACGACCTTGATTTAGAATTTTCAAAAGTTTTTTCAGAATATATAAAAAGCATCCAATACCATAACTCACAAAGAGCAAACTCCATTTTCACCAATGAAGTTTTCGCACTAATATATAGTTATATTTCGATATTAGAAAATGAACTCCCATTAACAAATGTCTCACCGACAGAAACATCTAAACATTTAAGAGTACGACATGAAATCACACTACTCTCTAGTTATTTAAACATCATTAAAAAAAATTTCACGAAAGACGACGTTTCACAACATACCAAACACGATTTACAAAAAATTTTAGCATGGTTCATAATAGATTATTTTACACACAATATTGATTTAATTGCACAAGCAAGAAAAAATTGTAGACCCCAAAATTCGAACGATGATACCGCTATCACAGAACAATCAGATTATGTTTGGGACCCCGAATGGTCTCATTCCGCATTTATAAACTTTCCACAATCAATCTCAAGTCAAGCAATAGGTACAATATCTTACATAAGAGATTATGTAAGAGTAATACCATTAACAATTGATGCAACACCATTAAACTATAATACATTTTTACCCGATACACAAAATAATAGTTTAAACTCTACAGTCATACACAATGAAAACCTCAATGGAACTAGGAATCTTACTCAACAAGATATCCAGACACCATCACACTTCATAAATGAAGAAATTGTACACACAACAACTACACAACAAAGTATTTCACCAATACGCCCAAATTTAACAACACCAAGAAATACAAATCCTTCACAAACACAGGTAACCTTACAATCAACCGTTAAACCTTCGGTTGCCCCTAAATATTCACATATGGATTACCAAACATACAAACCCATGACAATACCATCAAAAACACGCAAAACATTCACTAGAAACAACTTTGCAGACCATAATTATAATTATACACATCCATCAAAAACAAATTATCAACCACAAAGAAATTTTAATCAATATACAAAACCTCGAAACTGGGATAACCCAACGGCCCAATATAATTCCGCAAATTTTCAACCAAATCCTCCACAGGATCGCAGTGGAAATTACCCATTTTTTCAACAAAATAAAAATAAAAAACAAACATCTTATCAAATGGATTATTTATCCTCAGATGAAGATTTCTTACAACCAGATATATTTGCACCAAATACTCAAGAATATCGTAGACAAGGAATACAGAAAACACGTACAAATCATAGAAATTTTTCTCCACAATCAATAGATGCACAATATCAACAACCAATTCAACAACAAAATCCAATTAATACACAATCTTTTCAACCAATTCAACAACAAAATCCAATGACTACACACTCGTATCAACCATCACAAATGCAAAATGAAATACCACTCCCGTATTATCTTCAACAACATGAAATAACAAGAAACCAACTTTCAAATTTTTCTCAAATGCCAAATGCAGCTGAATCATTACAAATGACAATGAATCCATACCTTATGGGTGGATCATCAATAACATCAAATAAACCTTTAATGGTTTTCACAGGAACAGACCCTGAATACTCTGTAGAAGATTATTTAAACGCAGTAACAGCAAATTTAATTTTAAATATAGGACCTGAACCCATTAATACGCCACTACATCAAAACTGGATACATCGACGCACAGCGTTAATACAAACAACCTTAGATGGCGCAGCCCAAAAATGGTTTTCAGTACTACCTCTAGAAATAAAATCAAACTGGAAAAGGTTTACACAAGAATTTTCAAAAATGTTTGACTCCGAAAGAAACAAACAACAACAAAGAGTTTTATGTAATGAAATTCGCAGATTACCAAACGAAACCATCAAGCAAATAGCAGTACGAATCGAAACACTAGTTCGAAAAGCATATTCATTAAATACACATGACTATAAAAACACAAAGATGACAGAAATCTTAATGATGACCTTAACACCACAATTAAGGAAAATAGCAATAAAAAAGAGAGCATCCCATCCTTCTTCAATTCGAGAACCCGATTTAGATTTTAGAAAACTAGTAGACAAACTAGAACAAGCAGAAATCACGATGAAACTAGAAGAAACGGAGAATTTGAAATTACAATACGTTAACAAAATTGAAACGACTCCCACTAATATTAATAATATACAAGAATCAGAAACAGATCTCGTTGAAAAAATCACTGAAATACTCAATATTTACGAAAAGAACCCGAACTTTAAAGGCAAACCATCTTTCAAGAAATGGTGTAATTATTGCCGACGATACGGACATAGTATTTCCGAATGTAGACAAAAACAGCAAGATAGTCAAAATAAACCTCAAAAATACAAAGAACCAAATAAATCATTTTATCAATACATGAAAAAAGATCAAAATCTACCAAACAAAAATGTATACAGCAACAACAGTTCAGGAAAACCACTCCCGAACAATACAAGCTATACAAGAAATCAATCTCCATATAACTCAAGTTATAG